AAAGTTAAAAACACTGGTTTTCTCCTGAGGTCCAAACCCTAAGAAACATTTGGAATTCTAAGTCTATAAATTAAAATGCATTAAAGGCAAAACTTACAGAATTTACCATGGCTATACATTTCTACATTGATTTGTAACTGAATTCATTTTAAAGAAATGGTTTGTTTGTTTTTATTATTCTTTTTATTGCTAACTTAAAATACACATGCTTGATCTCTAAAAACACAAAAGCCTTTTCAAATAATGAAAACAAGATCCTAGAGGAATAATCACAGAGTTCTAAAGGGAAAAACATAAATTTATAAGTGAGTGTCTATGAATTTGATGACCTACAAATTCACCATGGAGCCACTTTAATCCAGAAAATACAACATATTTGAATGCTTAGCAACTGCATAATAAATATGAATATAGACTATAGAAAGTCTGTTGAATGTTCCTTGAAAACCAGAAGACTATTTTAGCACCTGGACTGAATTTGAAGGAAGCTAAACTTGAATTAGAGTTTTGTGTAGACACCAAGAAAAAGTCAGTGGTTTTGGCTTGTTCAAGTGGTTTATTTAAAGACAGAACTTAACATAAAGTTCTTGGAACACTGCCTTATGATTTGGCTATACGAAATGTGTGTGTGTGTGTGTGTGTGTGTGTGTGTGTGTGTGTGTGTGTGTGTGTATGTGAGAGAGAGAGGGAAGACAAAGAAAGACAGAGAGACAGAATTGAATGGGAATGTCTTTCACAGTTCATTTTGCTCATTACTTTATTTCTAGTATATAGTTCTTCTTAATCAGGCAGTTATTTCATGACACTAAAAATTAAGACACACATTTTAAAAGATAAGCTTGAGCCTGTATTAATTCATCTTCACAGTTTTTATTGTTCATAAAATAAGCAAATTTTTATGAGTACAGAAAAATGTGCAATGATATGCTACACACTATCCCACATACATGGGTTGGTTTAAACGACTGTCTACGGATGCATTGACTGATGGAGTGGGATTCTGGATCCAGACCTTCACTAAGAGAGAGTCAGACAAATGCTGTCAGGCAAGAATAAATCATCTATCTATTGAATGCAGACAAGCATGATAAATAAAAGTTTTACTAGTATCTTGATGTCAACAGTGATGAAGAAATGGGGTTATAAAATGAAACTAAATGCTAGAGCATGCAACGGCCAGAATGGTCCTCTTCTTAAGACTATGTGTCCACTTAATACATAAGCATCCAACATTTCATGAAAGTCAGCTGGATGTAGAAATCTATTGAAAACAATCTTCCATCTCTCTTTTTTTCAGGTCGATACAGTCAAAACATAGTCAGCTTAGGTGAAGTACACATTCAAGAACATAACTGCATGAGCATGGTGGCTTATTTGTAGTGCTCACATGACCCCAAGTATGAACTTGAAATAGACACCTACTACTTAGAACTTAGAAAAGTAGATTGGCGTGAAAGAATGGTATTAGGAAACAAAGACAGCCAGTGTTTGTATTCCAGAGGGTGGCTGCAGCCTGCACTTGTTAGCTTCTGGTTCTTTTGCTTAATAATTTTAGTTGAAAAATTCTGGCTTAAGATGAAACATAAAAGACTGAGGCTTTTAATTGGAAAGCATTATTATTAGAATTCTAACAAGGGAAAGAAACTTGATTGCATTCAAGGACAGGGCTGCTGCCTAGATAGAATATATACTGCTTTGTTCCCTCTTCTATGGATGTATTGATTCACTCTTGCTTTTTTTTTTGTTGTTGTTGTTTAGAGTGACCATTGGGTATCCATAGTTGTCTGGGAGGATTGGGCAAAATGTGCCACCTGAGGAACTGCATGGATTTGCTCTTAGTAGCCTTGCCTTTTCCCATACAGACCTTTCTTATTCCCAGAGATGTATGTGAGTGTGAAAGAGGCTCTGGACCTGACACTGGAGACTGAATTTTTCCCATGTGGCTCCCAAAGTTGCTTTCAATCAGAGTCATCTGGGTGAGATTGGTTTTATGTATGAAATTCTGTAGATATTTCCGAGAGTGTTTTAAGTTTGAGAACCAAAAATCCAATGTCAATTAATTCTCTTTGGCTTGGAGCTCTGTTTGTGGCTATCAGGGTCTTCATTATAACAGAATAATTATTCCAAATAAAATTAAGGGAACTTCTGTGGGCACTTAATAGAAAATCTTGAAAATGTGTATATAGTCTTTGTAAAGTATGAAAAACAAAATCAACACACAAAGGCTATTTGGCATTTGAAATACATCTCCTGTTGGATATTATTAGATCAGTTAGGCACCCAATTCTAGGAAAAGTGAGTGTAACAGAGTGTCAATGCTCACTCTTCATGGACATCTGCTACACACTGCAAAAACAGAGATGGTCCTAGAGAGCAGTGTGAAAGAAAAGCCTTCCCTGTAGGCAGTACATGCATGGTTTTCAATTTTGCTTTGTCTGGAAGGAGAAGTGACTAGAAGTGAGACTCAGTGAGATGAAGGAACAAATATGGAAATTTGTAAACAGAGAAGTGAGGGGGAGTGGCATGTGGCATGTGGAAGAATATATACTAGTGGTGAAAAAGGGGCAGATTTCTCTGGGAGACTCTATCCCCCATGAAAAGTGTCCTCCATAATACATTAATGGTTATATAATGCAAGTCTGCAGGATCTCTTTACAACATCCCTATGCCCATGCAATGAAGGATGTTGCTATATAGTGGCAAAGATGACAGAGTCTCAGAATATATTTACAAAGCATTGTAGAGAGATCCAAAAGAAGCAAATTTTAGTTCAATGAATTAGAAGAAACTACATATATTTGCATGAAATGTTGACTCCTTCTGTTCTTCAAAAGTGATTTCAAATAGACTACTACCCATAATCCATTGCTCTATGTTTTGTATTCTACCATACATGACAGACATATTCAAACATGAATTTGTACTTCCCAGCATTAACGATAAATGAACTGGCTCAGTATTAGGGAGACATGGCTTTATATATTTTGTTGGAGATACAGTGGCAGAGATTGGTTAGATACACACGGAATTCATTTTCCTTCCTACCAGACACAGAAGTGAACTGTGTTTCCCAGCTTCCCTTGCAGATGAGTCAAAGTGAAAGTGATGTACAAAGCACATAGACTGACCCACCAAAATATCCAGGGAACTTTTTTGCGTTCTTCATTAGCAGGGTGGATGTGTTGGATGGATTCTATAAACTCAGAAGAGAATTTAGCCACTTAGTAGGAGAACACTAAATAGTTCAGTGACACCTGAATTTCAACAATCTTCAATTCTTATCCCAACTGTTCTCTTTGTAATTATTTTATGTTGGTTAGAAATTAAATCTTGTGTTAATCTACTGATATTTGGTGTTATAAGTCAAATGAGCTAGTCATATAGATACCTGTATAAAAATGTGCAGATCAAAGTAGGGTATTACCACAGTATAAACCTGAAATATGCAGGAATATGTAGCAGTCAGGTAGGAGGGAAATGCCTACTGAAGTCTGGGGAGACAGACAGCCTTCATATTCTACAGAGACTAGTAATTCTGTACAAGAAATGAAGATTCAACATTTGAATAATCCATAGTTCAGATAGGGTGTTTTACTAAATAGCATGGATGACATTATAAATTGACTCTTCTACATTAGTATTGTGTAAGGTTTTCCAATAAGAATGATGACTTGAGATAGGAACTTGTTAGGTTTTTCAAACAGAGATGAGAGAGGTTAAAATATGAACTCTCTAATACTGAATAAAGATGACTGTAGGCCATGAGTAAGAGATAAGATTGATCACTGTTAATCCTTTCAACTACAAAAGCCCCATCCAACCCCTTCATAGATCAGTGTGTAAGAGGGAAGGGGGCTGAAACAACAAACACAGGAACTTCTTTGGACTAGACAGGGGCAAGGCTAAGGGCACCAGGCAGAGACAGGTTACTCTCTGGAAAACTGACTGTCACTGCCAAGAGGGGAATGATAGCAGACAGAAACACACGTGAGCAGGAGCTCCAAGCTCCTCTGGTATGTCCTATGAACTGTTTTCAGAAAAAGGTCGAGAATCTTAAGAGAGTGATTGATGTCAGAATACTCAATCCTAACTAAGCCCAGGGTCTAAATTTCATTTTTCTTTTCCTTACATTAAAAGTGAACTTTTTAAAAAATATTTTTCCCATCTTATCATTAGAGGTTGATTAGTACATTTGCTAAGTCTAAGGGGACAGAAAAATAAATGAAAGGAAAAATATACTTCAGGGGCAGGACAGTTTAAATTATAGATTTTTAAATCAATATACCCTGTTGAGCCCATTCTGACTATCCACATCCTTTTGTAGTTTGTTCCTACAGTCTTTCTGAGATTGGCATGTGATTTGCTTTGCCCTTTGGTATATTTACAATATGACCTTAGGAGATACTTGATAAATACCTGCATATTTGGTCTTAGTCACTAGGAATTCTGCTGCACCAGGTAATAGTCACTGGCTATATTACTGAAGGGAACACCAGAGGAGAACCATGCTGTACTACCAGCCAGCAATGCTTGCTAAATACCATCTTGGCCAACCCAGCCTCAGCAGAACCATGAGGCATGAGTGTCAATACGTGATCAAATATAGACAAAAAGATCAGTAAAATGCACCCAAGGCAAGTGTATAAAACTGTTCAGCTAAGAGGCTCCATGGTTAATGATTTTAGGTCAATGTTTGGAGCTAATTTGTTGTTACATAATTATGAATAATGGATATTTTTAGCATGTAAATGAAGCCTTTTATACTTTTCACATTAAAATCAATAAATGATACTCAATGGTAACTTATCAACTTAAAACATGATAAATGAGAAAAAAAAAGCAAAACCAGAACATAACCAAAATAGCAAATGCAAATTGTCTTTATGAACATTTTTGGGAGGGGTTGGCCGGATTACGGTCTTTATGATATAGTAGAAAACAAGATAGATATTTATGTAGGTAAGAAGATATACAGGCAACCTTTTAGTTGGATAACTTACTGAAACATGATTTGATATGAAGCATGTGCTGGAGAGCCATGCACAAAGGTTCTTCGTTCTGCGTGATGCTCCTGCAAGCACATGGCACTTGAAGGGCTGTCCCAAAGGTTTTCAGGTAGGCGGCCTTACAGCTGTCACTCCCAGAACAAGTAAGGTCTTGCTTGCCTAATGTGCTGATGCAGGTCTCGTCGTCCTGGCACTTCCCTGTCACACGGGGCCAGCATTCTGACTGGAATGTCCGATAGTGTGCCCTAGAAAAAGAATGAAGGCCTGGATTTAACCTGTGAATAGAATGATTTCACATTAATATGTGACGACCTCTCACCTAGGGAAACACTGGCATTGGGCAAAATGAGTTCTGGGTCCCAGTACAAAGCTAACTTTGTACTTTCAAATGTCGCTATAAGGAGTGTGGATTAAAAAACAGTGAAACTGTGTAAATTACTGTCCTCTCAGGAGGGTTTCCATTATAACTATTTTTTTTTTATCACAATGGGTGACGATTTGCAGTCTGAACTACCTGAGAGAAGTTAATTAAAAAACATTTTAAACCTCATATGATTTTGGAGCTGACATTTAGACACTGTCCCCCCCAGGAAAATTCAAATAAGGCACTTCCAATCTAGTTTTCCTACACCATGGGATACACTTTGTTCTTTTTCCACATTCCTAATTATACCAAATAGAATTCACAAAATTATTTTTAGATTTTTTTTTGTTGGACAGTAAAACCTAAGGCTGGGGAACATGTCTCCCCAAAAGAGACTTCACAATTTCTGACAAGCTGTCCAGTCACCTTACCAGATGAGACCGAAGCCCAGACAAGGATGGGTCAGTGGTGGGCAGGTGACAGCTTGACTGGAGCTACTTAGACATGCAAATCCTTGGATTTCCATTTAGATTTTAATATCGCTTCAGCCTCCCCCAAGATGGGCTTGGAGGTGGGGAGTTTCACTGGATCTGTTCTTTCCTCCTCCCAGTGAAGCCACATTGACTAAGTCTCCTTTTTGTTTGTTTTCCAGTATTAATTTGACACCTTTAATTGACTTATTAAGGCTGAGTGGCTGAACAGGCTTGGACACAGACTGTGAGTGCTCCCCATACCCTCAAGTTTGATTATAAAAAGTTAGGCATAGCAGGACATGACAAATCCGTAATCCCATGGCTGGGAAGCTGAAGCAGAATGACCTAGTGTGGGACCAGTGGGGACTACCTGTAAACCCCACCTCAGTTTAGTCCATATTCTCATTATGTCCTGCATTTCTTACTCGTGTCCCAAACTATCAAATCAAGGCTAGCCTCGTATACAGAGGAAGACCTTATCTAAGACATACAAAACCCAAACAATAACAAAAATTCTGTAATCACATCACCACATTATTTAAAAAAAAGGCTAATTAAAAAGCTGATTGTGGATCAGTGAGCTAGATAAGGGATGAAAGACAACTTCAAAAAGCCTGAAGAACAGAGCTAAAATTGTAGGACCCACATGGTGGAAGAAGAGAACCAACTCATGAAGATTGTTGTCTGTATGTACTGACACACTTGTGCGCGCACACACACACACACACACACACACACACACACACACACACACACAGGACAAACGTGATCTTTAAAAAGATGTCATATAGGCCATCATAGTTCAACATAGTGGGTTTCTTTATTGTAAAATCCTACTCTGCATTTTACATTTGAATTTCAAAAAGGATACCACACATGTACCACAGATTCACAATAGGAATTGTCTGGCTTTATTTACACCATTTGGAGTATGGTGGGAACTCCAGCAATGGAAGGAGATCAAATGTTAGGGTTGGACTATAATAAATAAGGTGCCGAAATAAGAAAGCAAGGTATGTGTGTTTTTACTCACCTGCATAATTCATCATTTCGGCAAGTGTGAATTACACTGAGGCAAGTGGGGGGTGGAACTATGTTCAGTGCACATGGCTTGCTGTGAAGAGTTTCTTTGGACTGCTGACAGGGTATATCAGATTGAGCGCAGTCACAAAAAGCCAACATCTGGGCAGTGTTAAAAGGCATATTTTGATAGAAGAACCGTATGGCTGCTTGGCAATGTTTCACATCGCACAGATTTCCATTTGCTGAGCATGCTTTAAGGTAAAGGGCCAATTGTGCATTACAAGCCACATCCCCTACGCATGCCTCTGTCACTTCCAAACAAGACTGCATCTGTTTGAATCCTGAAAGCAATAAAATGCCCAGGTCATAGAAAAATAAGCATAAGGTTGTACATATAGAGCTTGCAAACGAAACTATGGGAATTCTGTAAGGTGAGTACAAAAGTGTACCAGGTTGCTATGATTTCTTTAAAATTATAAATTTACAATTTACTGAAGCTTCAGGGTGCAATGTTTGAATCATCTTTCTTCAATACTGTATGTGCATTGTAATCCAGATTGGTGGGGAATGGATAGAACTGAAGTGGGGCTTTAGGGGAAAAACGTCTCTAACTCTAAGTTTCTCAAAACAAGCAACAAATCTTCAGAAATAGAATTTGAACTATGTAACTTATTGTGAGCTCAGGGTCATGAGTCAAAATCATTGTTCTGCCACAGTTAATTGGGGATGGATAAGAAATTCCCAACAAAAGTGCTACACAGTTATTGCTGCCTATGAAGATGTTCATATTCTTATGAAAAAAATATACACATATATGCATGTATGTGTGTGTGTGTGTGTGTGTGTGTGTGTGTGTGTGTGTGTGTGTGTAGAGAGACCACTACCTCTGCTGTCACTACAGGTATACACAAAAACAGTTGGTTTGTATGATCAAAATATACTTAAAAATTACCCAACTTTTTGTTTCAATGAAAGAGTAATTTCCAAAATATTCATAAATAGATGACAGAAGGGCAAAGCAGTTGCTTTCCTAACCCTTTTTGGAAAGACTGCCATGATTTTGCAGCATGTTTCCACTGCAGCCTTTAAACAACACAAATAACGTTGTATCAGCATATCATTAAGAATCCTGATAACACATATCATATCAACCAGTTTTTATAATGTAGATAAAAATAATAGTTTATATGCATTACCATGATGCAAAGGGGTAGTTAGATCCCAGTTGTGATTATTATCCTTTTTCATGTTACCTAGAAAGAAAACAAGAAACCTATTTCACTCTTGAATAGTTTTTAAAATTTTCTGGAGCTATGAATGCATAGTCAACCAAATATTTACAAATGGGTGTGACACTTACTTATTCTCTGGCATTAAAAAATAATGAGAGATAAATGAAGAAAAACCATGTGAGTAAATTAAAAAGCCTTGTTTTGTGGATTCAGTTACTTGAAAATATAAGTTAACGCTAATGACTAGACCAGGTACAGTGAAGCAAAAAAAAAAAAAAAAAAAAGGACCTGAAGAAAAAAGAATAGCAGGAGTATTTTTTTGAACAAAGGAGAGACAGAAAGAAAAAGAAAGTAAAGGAAAAGAAATTTCCCTACCAACAGAATCATAAATCAGGTAGAAATGCAGTTTTAAAATTATTTCCACCTCTGAGTATCTCATTCTCTAAGAATTTCAGGATTCATAAAGGTAGAATTAGAAAATTTCATTGACAGAATCTTTCATTCCACAAGCATTAGTTGGGTTTGGACTGGGTACCAGGTGGCATCCTTGAGAACAGCAGTGTGCAGTCCTTGTAGCTGATATCCCACAGCTTCCTAGGAAATAAACACAACTAAAGCCAACACAAAATACAAGAAACAGCAACAGACCTGTGCAAAGAGTGTTAAGGAAAATGGTATGTTCAGAATTTCATTTTAAAACATCTAATTAATATAATTATTTGTCAACTGTTACCAAGACATCAACTTGTTTTCTGATATAAACATCCCCGCATGACTAAACTGGTCCTTGTTGGGTTGTCTGTGCTCCTTGCTCATCAGCCCACTGCAAGCAAACAACTGTACAACCATAGGCAGGTTCTTCACAGTGCTGCATGTCCCAACCTCTGCAGGCTCTGTACTGCTCTAGCTGCTGTTACTGTATAGTTTTATTTTTCTATTGACTAGGTCAAGAATCATCATTTCTTCTAGAATCCAATCTCCTCCTGTCTTTCTGAGGAAGAGCTGGCTTCTATTTCTGTGGTACAACCCCATATTAAATAAAATTCTAAAAAATGAATAAACAAAAACCAGATTTCAGTGAGTCGTACAAATTTTCTAAAAATACAAATGCAGACATACAAATACAGACAAACACCACTACTTGGACAAATTGACAAGTCTGTGCTATAGACTAAAACATATTTAAGAAACTACCCTTAAGCCAGGTGTCGGTGGTGCACACCTTTGATCCAGCACTTGGGAGGCAGAGCCAGGCAGAGCTCTGTGAATTTGAGGCCAGCCTGGTCTAGAGAGAGAGATCCAGGACAGGCACCAAAACTACACAGAGAAACCCTGTCTCAAAAAAACAAAAACAAAACAAAACAAAACAAAACCCAAAAAAACAAAAACCTACCTGTGACCCATCAATTTGTAATCAGTTTATTGTTATCTACTAGATACTTATGCTAAATAAGTATCTATAAATGAATGCTAAAGCTCTAACCCCAAGTGTATGTGTGTGTGGATATGGTGTTTTTAGGGAATCAGTGAGGGACAAATAAGGTCATAATAGTGGAGCACTGGTCTGCTTGGTTGGGTTACACTTCTTCCATCCCCTCCCATACCCATTCTTTAGCACACATCAAGAAAGGGTCATAGAAGGATACAGCAAGAGGCCAAGGAAGAAGGGAGACTTTATCAAAAGGAGACCCCACTGGACTATCTGGGCCTTCTGTTTCCATGCCATGAAGAATAAAGCTGCTTCTCTCAAAACCATTTAGTCTACGGGGCTTTGTTCTCAGTCTGAATAGAACAACCAACTCGTTGTGGGGGTAGTTATGGCCCAAACCACAAAACATTTACTTTTAGTATAAAAGAGCGATTTTTGTTTCAGATAGTATGCTGTTTTTGTAGGCAGTACAATAAACTGTCTGTATATTAAATGCCAACCTCATGTCATTTCAGATGTGTATATGTTATATTTGTATATGTATATATGCATGCACTTTTCCAAAAGGACATTTTAAACAGTAGGTCCATTATTGAAAACAGTTAAAAGACAGTTGTGCCCTGGGGATAAACAATTATGCACCCACCAGACCTGCACTTGAGCTATACAATCATATACAAATGCATCAAAAACTAGAAAACATTTCCTAAATTTGTGTCAGAATCAACCCCCTTTGTCTTCTCTTCCTTAACATGATCAGTACTGATGGCTGCTTACTCTCGAAGTGGAATCAGGCTAGGGTGTTTTTATTAATTGTATCGATTTCTGCTTTCTTCTTAAATTGACCCACTTGTATCAACAGCTTGGGAATTTGACCTCATCTCATCTTGCTACCACTCTGGTCTAAGATACCATGAACTTTTTTGTTGTTGTTAATCTTGACTAGTCCAACAGGCTTATAATTTATTAATGAATTATCCCTTCCTCTCAGTTTTCACCTTCTGTGCAAATCTCATGTCCCTGTGCCACACATGGAATTAAACACAAATTTCATACTTAGAACTTGAGCTCACCATTTCGATATCTAGTAAATATTGCAGACTCAAAATATACACATCTGGATCTGGATATTTCCTCTGTCCTCCACTAAAGCCCTTTCTTCTGGAAACTGTCCATATTAATTAAAAGAATGACAGTGCTATCTTTGGAGTTAGTGACTCAACACAAAACAAACAAAAAAACTTCAACCCTTGTTCATGTACTCCCACGTGTTTCACGTTTATAAACATATTCAGAATCTATCTTTTTTTATACCGGTCTGTCATCCAACAAGTGTGTGCTGCGCAATCATTGAAGTCTCATAACAATTGTGAGTATGGTTGAGTGAGGGTTCACCTTTACCTGGTGCTTTTCTAGGTATGGTGTTTACCCAACAGGTTACTGACTTACCTGGGCCATCACTAATGCCCATTAGCAATCCACAAGAGGAGGACAGGGTGTCAGTCCCTTGTCTTAATAGGAGAAAATTCTGCAAGTCCATTGTTGTGTGCAAATACTAAGTTCTTGTAGCAACTGCAATGCATTTCAGCTTCTCTATCAAATCCTGTGGATTCCTTTCCACGGCTCTGCTGATAAGCATTCCTCTTAATACTGTGCATGCAAACCATCTTCACAATCAGTTTCTCGGGAAAATGGCACGAGAAACTCCTACCTTGAGAAGTCAAGAATCTAGAGAGCAATCATTTTTGTCTATTTGTTCTTTTATCTCAGGGGTTTAGAACTTATAGTGGAAAGGTAGAGACTCTAATTAAATGACTATCTTTTCCCCTGTTTTATCTGTTTTTTTTTTCTTTTTTGTGTGTGTTTGTTTCTGTTTTTGTTTTTTTGAGACTGCATCTCCCTAAGTAGCTCTGGCTCTCCTGGAACTCACTTTGCAGACAAGACTGGCCTTGAACTCAGAGATCTGCCTGCCTCTGCCTCCTGGGTTCTGGGATTAAAGGTATGTGCCACTACACTGGCTGCTTCATTAATTTTAATTTTTTTAAAAAAATGTAGCAGTCTTCTTCAATGGAGGACAGATGTCCTTCTTTCACTACACAGATCTAAATGTTCCCTAAGCATTTGTTTAATGAAAAAATGAATAAATAAAATTGGGAATATGCTTCATTCTTTCTGATACCCTCTGTCCATTGGCATAGTATGAAGGTTTACAAACATTTAATTTCTAAGAGAAATTTAAAATTAACCTTCAAAGTAGAAATGACAATTAGAACTAGAAATTAAGTATTCTTTAGTTAACACATTTTTATGATTATGCTCAGTGTTCCTAAATTATTCCTTTAAATACCAACCCGAAGCCATGTCCTCCTGGAGTCCATGTTCCTTGTCTTGACTGACGGTGGGAATTTGATTGATTTGAGTATCCTGGATGCAAATGTCTTCAAATAAGCTTTTCCAAATCCGAATGCAGTCTCCTTCCAAAGGGAAACCACACTGACAGCCCCACAAAACCGTGTCTCTCAGGCTCTCTCTCAGGGAGACACACAACAGTCGGCCGCTAAGGGTGTGGCATTGTGCAGTTCCTTTGCCACAGGCTTTCTTAAAGTTCTCATGGAGCCGAGTGCAGTGCTCAGATTCCCGGCAGGCCTCTGCTGCTGCGATGCAGCCGTCCGTCCTCTCGGCCGTTAAAGATGAACCTTTCCTCTGGAACCGTCGTGGAACGTTTGACAGCAGCACCCGATCGGAAGACCCTGCTGTCTCCTCTAGGAATAAAGTCAAAGAATGGTTTAAGAACTAAGTCCATTTACTCTTTATGTGTTCATAAACTCTTTCATGTCTTTTTTAAGAATATAAATACATTATATCGATATTTCAATATCTTTCAAAATATTGGAAAATTGTTTTAAGGCATCTGTTCCAAATGATCTGAAATTTAGGAAACAGACATACTAAGTTTTCAACTGTGGACATATACAGTATTAGCACTGAGTTTCTTCTCTTGGAGATGCTTGGGTTTCATTCACTTTTGTCTTCATTGCGTTTTGACAATTGACACAACTTTCAATTAACTTAAATATGCAAATTTAATACATTATTTCCCATAAACTTTTAAAACCTTTCATTGCCTTCTGGAAATATGCCTTTACTAAAAGGTTTCTCAGATGTTTTTCTTGTTTTTTTTTTCCTTATACTCTTTCAGGTGTTTTTTTTTTCCTCAGCCTTTTAGCTCCTCATACAACGTAATTCCACACATTTTCATCCAATCACACACATGCACATGAAATAAGACAAGATAAAGTAAAATGATACACATTTATAATTTATATTTTGCTTTTGCACATAATAAAGTAAAATATTTTTGCCATACTCGAGTAGCAATTTTCAGCTCTTGGAGGCTGTTCTACTCTGCATAGAAGCCAGTAACCCATAGTATATTCATTCCACAGAAAGAAGATGAGAAATGCAGCTTCCTTATAAAGTTTTGGGTACCCTGAGCATAGGCTTTGGGGTCTGTTTCTAAAACATATCTCTGCCTCTGAGATACTTCAGATGACCTCCACATTTGCAAAGATTTTTTTTTATTGGTTTTATTGCATAAGTGTTCCTCACAGTTTCATTTTTTTAATTCTTTGTAGGTATATGAGATAAACACCATATAGCTAACTTCATGCTATGAAAATGTTTACTTACAATCTACTTATGGTACCATTATAAAAACTTGTCCATAGTTATAACTCTGGAATATGTTTTGAAACACACACTATTGTAGTATTCAAACATTTTTCAAATAAGAACTCACCATAAATTGCTTGTAAGTCAGACTAATAAGAACAGAGACCACATTAGCTAGCAAGCCTGGGCACACATTGTGAAATCTATGTAAATGAAGATTGTCTGCATGTAGTTAGTTCCTCTTATATTGGCCATGTATAGTTATTTTCATTAGAAAATATTTATTTTCCAATAAGCTTTATATATCTACTTAAATATCAATCTGTTTTATGATATGCATCAGCTATAACTAAATATATATATGAAATAAACCAGGTTAAATTACATAATCCTATTAAATGTCTGTTTTACTCTATGATGTTAGCTACTAAATAGCTTTACTCAGCTTTATGTCCATTGCACCAGGGATTATGATGTGTCTACCTATATTAAGTGAATCATAACTATTTTTATGAATGAACATATGATTTTAATGTTCAAACTTTGAGAAGTTAAGTGTTTACACAATATATTTCATGATAGTATATTTAGTTTTGGGTACTATTCTGGAAACTCTGGCAGAATCAAAAATATCCAAACTTAAAAATGTAGGTTTATATACACTAGGGACGGTTTTAGTGTTGCCACGGAAAGAGAAGATTTTTTTTTCTGCAGTGTGATTAAAGGTTTTTCCAGAGTGTTGAGATTGGAATACAATGAATGATGAGACTGAAGCTATCATGTCCCTCTTCTCTCTAAGCTGAATTGTAGGCAGTCTATTAGGGGCTCTTTGAAACTGTAACCCTCCAATGGTCCATAATGAAATACACTCGAGGGAATGTTTAGGTCTCCACCTCCAGGTCATCAGATAAGGGTTCTGCTGCCTGGATTGTCCATATTTCACATTGTAATGTTAAATGAACTTCTATTCTGTGAAAAAAACTTTTTTAATGTGAAATGACTTCAATCTCTCTGAATTTGTCTGTACTTGTTAAAGTGATGATATTTTGTGAAAATGACATGAGGATGGCCATTGAGTTAAGAGTTTACTGTCTTGGAAAAAAAATTGCGTCACTATTAGAATAAACATTACAAATGATTGTAACTCAGTCTACTTTCAACCAAAAAATAAAGAAGACACATTAATTGCCAAAATAATGTCATTTCCACGTCCTGTTGTACTGGTTTCTCATATCTATAATGGTTGACTACTCTCTCTGTCTTCTTTTTCTGGCTTTTGAAGTTTGATAGTTTGTTGTTTTTCTCCCTATTGCTAAAGAAAAGAAAATTATGTGAATGGTAGAAAAGAAGTTGCAGGGAGAAGGGGGCTAAGGAGAAGGAAGGGAGATTGATTAGAGAGGTGGGTGTTGCAACAGTCACCATGTGCTTGTGCTAAACAGCTTTTCACCAACTTGACAAGTTCTGGGTTCTTTAATTAGATTGTGAAATTTTACTAGCAAATGTTATTCTTCATATTTTTTTTTTACATGCCTTCACACTCATTTCCAGCTGGTCACCAAGTCTTCATGATTATAATTCACAATTTTCCACTGAAGTATATCTTAGAAGTTTCAGGGCTACTGTGTTAGCTTGAAAACGTGACACCTCTCATTAGTTTGGACATGGGTGATCTCTCTCTCTCTCTCTCTCCCTCCCTCCCTCCCCCCCTCCCTCCCTCCCTCTCTCATTCTCTTCTAATCCCTGGAAATGACTTTTAAAAAAGGAGATGAATTTTTCATTTCTCTGTTTAAACTATACAACAGCTCCTCACAGCAAATCATGAAATCTAATCTCTTTAGAAAGGCAAGTGAGTCCAACTTTCCCCGATGTATAGCATCTGGTTTCTTTCTCGCATCATCTTGAGATGCTTCTCCATCTTACAACACAGCAAAACAAAGGCTTTGTTGTTCCTCAAATGGTTGCAGCTTCATTTTATTGCCTCTGGTTACAACATTTATTTCTTTTTCCCTCCCTAAGGAGCTCAGTTCACCTAACTCTACCAGTTCTATGAAGTGTTTGAAGTCGCAATTATTTCCTCTGCTATGATGTCAATGCACACATTCATTGTGGATGGGTGCATGACTATCAAGTAGAACACAGCACAGTGTGCAAAGTGATACTTGGAAATTTTTACTTTAGTTAGGAACTGAGATAGTCTGAAATAGACTTGACTTTAATTCTTGACTTTAGAATTAAACTAGAAATCAACAAGAAAGGTATCCAGGAAATCTCGGGTATCTGAGAATTAGCAATCTTCTAAATGAACTATGCATTGAAGGAGTGATGAAGCAGAGGAGAAGTTAATTGGAAATGATATTCAGGTGAAATCTTCTGAGAAGTGTTTCCTCAGGACGAGCACACAGAGGCGGTAGTTCAGGGGAGCAAAGGTTACTTCTCATGAGGACAGCTGAGCTTGGTAATGTGTAAGAGACTACCACATGGTATTGGTTTTGAAGGCATGAAACAGTCATGGAGGGCAGCTGAGGCTTGGCATCATGCGGCTATGATGGAATCCTTTCAGAGTAGCCAGAGGCCTTTGTAAAGGTTCAGCTTAAGTTGAAGTGAAAACCCAAGGATTAAAGGGGTAGTGGAGAGAAGCTGAGGTTTGTCACTAAGTACTAGGGTCAAAACCCCTGCAGAGAGGCCAGAAGGCCATTTTTGGAGGTACAGCCTGTTTCAGTGGAGACCACAACATATTAGAGATTCTAGGACCATGGAATATCCACCAAAGATAGCAGTGTGTTTGGAGTAAGCCTACAAGACAAGCTATGTGTTCTATGGATGGCGGAGCCAAAGATGAGGAGTTTCCCAAGCCTTTTGAAGGTCAGAATACTGTGAGCAAATCCCAGACTTGGACACTGAGATAGTTACACTATTGGAGTTTGGTTTTGCTTTGATATGACTGCAATTGTGCCCTGCTTTTTCCTTCTTGGGAAAAGAAGTAAGTAAGTTATCAAGGAACACATCCAGTCAATGAAAAAAATGGTGCTACCAAGACCCTTATAAAATGACCTAAAACTGAGTGCAAAGGCAATTATTTTCTTATTTTTGTATTATTGTTTTATTATTGTAACTATAAAATATTATATTTTATGTATTCTTTGAAATTTTGATACATGTTTACAATATATTTTGGTTATATCCCTCCCCTACAGGTTTCTTTAACTTCCCTTGAGACCCACCAAATTGTCTCACTCCAGACACTATGTCCTCTTCTTCATTCTTTTATTATTCTTATTATTATCAGCCCACTTAGTCAAGTTAATTTTATTTGGGAAATGGCTATGGAAATATTCACTGGGATGTATCACTATCTCCAAACAAAGGTGACTCTCCCTCTCTTATTAGCCATCAAATGCTATAACTTCTCTGTTAGGGGTGCGGTCTTGGGAGCTCCTCTCCCACCCATGCTGGAATTTTGAATGGCTTTATTTTGTGTGGGTCTTGTGCAGGCAACCATGACTGCTGTGTCATGTCCAGAGGACAGTATTTCACACCTCCTTCCCAACTTCCTGCACTTAACCAACAGTCTTTCCACTCTTTCTTCTTCAGTGTTCCCCGAGCTTTGATTGGAGGTGGGGTGGGGTTACAGAAGATTCATCCACAGATGAGTGAGCACGCAATGGCCATTTTTTTGTTATTAAAAACAAAAGTTGCAAATGAAGACCAATTTATAGTCAAATGAACACAGATGAACACCACCAAATATGAGAAAAACACACACACACACACACACACACACACACACACACACAGAGAGAGAGAGAGAGAGAGAGAGAGCAAACTATCAATGCATGAATTTTAAAAAGGACAGTACAACTTCTACAGATATTAAAAAAGACAACCAGAGAATACTAAGCAGAATATTACAGAGATCTACAAAGATAGAAGTCATAAAGAGTCACATAGAAAATAAAATAAACAAACACTATAATATAAATACGATTATGATAAATGGAAGATAAACTATTGCTGTGAATATCGCTCTATATAAGTAAAACACTGATGGCCAGTGACCAGACAGGAAGTATAGGCAGGACCAAGGAGAGAGGAGAATTGGGGAAACAGGAAGAAGGAGGGGGAGACACTGCAGCCACCACCAGGATAAGCAGCATGTAAAGATGCCGGTAAGCCACGAGCCACATGGCAAGGTATAGATTTATAGAAATGGGTTAATTTAAGATATAAGAACAGTTAGCAAGAAGCCTGCCACGGCCATACAGTTTATAAGTAATACAAGCGTCTGAGTGATTATTTTATACGTGGATTGTGGGACTGCAGGGCTTGGTGGAACCTGGAGAGAAGCCCTCCAGCAACAAACTATTGTGGAACATTATTTTAAAATGTGCCATATTTGTTTATTCTGTGGAGCATTTGTTTTAATGATGCAAAGATGTGTTGCATTCTTTTATGTTGCATTTAACTCTGTGAAGCTGTGTTACTTTCCCTGTCAAAAACATCTGATTGGTCTAATAAAGAGCTGAACAGCCAATAGCAAGGAAGGAGAAAGGTGGCACTGGCAGGCAGAGAGAATAAATACGAGGAGAAATCTGGTAGAAAAAGATCAAGGAGCGAGAAAAAGAGGAGAGGAGGACTCCAGGGGCCAGCCACTCAGCTACACAGCAAGCCAGAGTAAGAAGTAAAGAAAGATATACAGAAATAGAGAAAGGTAAAAGCCCAGAGGAAAAAGGTAGATGGGACAATTTAAGTTAAGAAAAGCTGGCTAGAAATAAGCCAAGCTAAGACAAGGCATTTACAAGTAATAATAGGAGCTGGGTGGTGGTCTTCCCCAAAGAGCCTAAGAGTAAAGACTAATAAAACAACCAGCAACAAGAAACTACAAAAGTTCATTCATGGCATTGAAACTAGGCCAATTCTATAACAATTAATCATATAAATTTATATTTTATGTATCACATGATGAATTGTGCAGCTATAGTACTATTTAAACCAATAATTAAAGCAAGAGAATCAATTCTTTCTATACTGTTCTAGAATATAGAAAAGAAAGTACTTTCCAATTTAGTTTTAACAGCCAGCATTAGGTATATAACAGAATTAATAATTTAAGAAACTATGTCAATATCCTGCTTGAACTCAGACATAGCAATAAAATATTATCAACTTAAATACAGTAAATGTACAACAAATGAATGCACAGTGACTGAATGGGATTCAGATTTGAAATAAAGAGCTGATTCAGCAAATATTACCTGTCTGATTGATGCATTTTTTCCCAAAAAGTTTGTTCACTGTACAGTGGAGGTCATCGACACAAAGACATTCTTTAAGCTGGAAATTTTTTTCCACCAAAGACTGGATACTCAGGTTACAATGTGATGAGTTATTTATCTTGCAGGAGTCACCTGGGTTTCATAATCACATATAACACTGAAGATATTAATCTGAATATAAAGTTTATTTCTCCTTCACAAAGTGCTTTTAGTACATCAACCCAAGAAATTAACGAGTTTAGTAAGATTATCTTGGTTTGCTAAAGGATGTTCATCAAATTGACTTTATCCTCCAAGTTTTTAACAATGAACAGAAATAGTATTGGCTATGGGATGCATTTTAATACACGAATATTAAGTTTGATATGGCGAAAATATTCAAAGTACCAGGCCCCTGGGTATTTAAGTTACCCAGAAAGCGCCAAAGAAGACAGATCTTTTGTCCCACAAACACTGAGTGAATCAAAACAAATTAGGATCTGTTGCATACACATAAAATTTGGGCTCTGTTTTTAAGCAATCCACTATTGAGAGGTTTTGATCTAGGAGCATCTGGATCAAGGGTGGTGTTGCTAGTGTAACTACTAAGAATTCCTTCAATGCTTACGAACTACAAACATCAAACAGAAAACAGAGAAACTTGACCATACCTCCCAGGGTAATCTTTCTCACTCTACTTTGCCCCCCTCATCCCTCCCAAGAGGGGTGTAATTTGCCCACTTGTAGAGCAGACAAATGCCCTACCACTGAGCTACACATGGACTCCCCGGTTCATTTTCTTATTTAAAAGTTTTATACATTGTAATTAAAATATAATTACATCATTTCTCCCCTTTCTTTCCCTTCCTCAAACTGCTCTCAAATCCCCTTCCTCCTACTATTTCAATGATTCCTGCTCTCAAATTGGTAAACTTTTCTTCTCTGATTATCGTTGTTACATAGATAGATAGATAGATAGATAGATAGATAGATAGATAGATAGATAGATAGACAGATAGATAGATATGTACATGTTTGCACAGATATATAAATACAACCTGATGAGTCTGTTTTATTGTTTGTGTGAATATCTTTTCAGGGCTGATACTTTGTATTGGACAAACAATTACGCCCCTCAACCCTAGGAGAGACTAACTCTCTCTTTCTCAGCAGTCATCAGCTGCCTGTAGTTCTTTGTCTAGTGGAGTGATCCCCTGAGATTTTCCCTTTCCTCACTAGCATGTCTATTAGTCTTGCCATTGTTCAAATCCTGTTTATACAGCCATTTCTATGAGAGCCTGTATATTTATATTCATAAAGATGCAGTAAGTGGCACCCACATGTTAGTGGTATCCAGAGTTCTAATTGGAATGAAGACTCACTCAACAGGGAAGAAATCATGCCTGGTAGTAGACACCTAGCCAACTTCCCCCCTCCTAATGAGATCATAGATCTTAGAAGAAAATCTGCTACTACAAGTTGCCAGACCAACTATATCCTAAATCTTGTCCTTATACCCAGAGATAAATATAGCTATCAACACTCATCAAAGAAGTTCTCCCTCCCTCTCTTTTAAGGTTTACTTCATTTTATTTGTGTGCCTGTGTGTTTAGACTCCACATACATGCTTGCCTGGTGCCAATGGGGAATAGAAGAGGGCACCAGATACCCTGGAACTGGAGGTATAGATAATTGTGAGGTGCCATGTGGGTGTTTGGGTTCTAACCTGGGTCCTCTGGAAAGCAACCAGTGCTCTTAACTGCTGAGCCGTCTCTCCAATCCCAAGGAGCTCCTCTTTACAGTAAATGTATACCATCACAGATAATCACAACTGCACACAATCCAGAGATCAGTAAATCATGTGGATCCCAGACAGCCCCAGTGGATACACAGTTTCTGCTTCTATGGCTCCGGGACCATCATGTGAGAGGAGGACAGAAAGATTATAAGAGCCAGAATACCAGGAAATCTGTGTGGGGTGGTCTAGAAGTGACTTTTAAAACAAAATACACATTTTAGTGTTTCCACCTGTAGAATGCTTTCCAAAATACCTTAAAGCTTTCTGTATTTGAAATGATGTTCTGCACACAGTGGAATACCAATGCTTGCTGTTTGGTAATGTCCAAGCTGACCTTACACAGGGGGCTGGGGTGCAATTCAGTCTCAGCTATCCCATCTCTTTAACTATTTTGTTTGCTCTTTTGTTGTGACATATTTTATTGTACTTGTTACTCTAAAACTATATTAAAAGGTATGTGTTTCTAAAGTTCTCCTAACACTTAGACAGCATTTTATAAGTAACATTGAATGAATCAGTCACTTATAATTACCAGTATTTCATTTTCTGGTTAAAAATTAATTTGCTCTAACCTACAATTTTTTAGATTAAAAAACTAATTGAATTTTTTACTTGTATATTTAGGGACATTTCTCTCTGCTTCATATATAAAATAATTACTCAAATACTATCATAATTCATTGCAAATGGCTTAGATTTGTTAGCTAACATAATAAATAACTTATAACAGATGACATATTAAGTGTAATATTTTAATACCACATTTAAAGTTGCCTTGTCAAATATAGCTAGGATTTCATTGTCAAAACAAATATGGGTTGTTTTTGTCATTTTCTGAACTCATCTTAAAATATTTTATTCTGAGCAAATGTGTAAGCACTAGCTGTAACTCTCCTATGGATGTAAATATCTTTGTCTTCTCTCCAGGGCAGAGAAGCAAAGTCCTCTGTAACATCCTTTGGAGTCCTTCGAGTCCTGTTGATGGAGACCCTGGCATAGTTAGAACTATAGGCTACTGCCTTTGACCCAGAACACTCTAGGGGTAGGTGAGATTCAGTAGGAGTATATTGTCCAATATTCATAGAAAGGGCGGGGAAACATTATGTCATGCAGTATATTTTTCATTTTCCCCTCTTGGTCTCTTATTAAACTTTGCACAATTTTCATGAGATGTTTAATTATAATAATCACAGTACAAAGACAAACTTGTCATAATGGTAGAGTATAATTTTTAAAACGACTTTGGCATAACAACACCATGGGAATGTGTTTCCCTGTGTAACCGGCCTCTTAGAGCAGTCTACTTTTAGCGAATGCTAAAGTACTTTGAGCAATACTAACTCAACGACCTGACTGTTCAGATGACTTTTGTTGCTGTTTTACAAATACTGGTCACTCAACATCACCCCCACCTCCTCCTCAACAACAATGACGAAAGCAAGCAAGACATGAGGCCAAAGGTTCCAGGGAGTTCAGAGAACAGCTAACCTCATCACATGAGAGCAGCTAACCCCATCACATGCGCCCAGAGGTTGAAAAAAATAGGCAATTCCATTTATCTCCCACCTAGCACTTCTTTTTTTATCGACACAGGGTTCCTCTGTGTAGTTTTGGTGCCTGTCCTGGATCTCGCTCTGTAGACCAGGCTGGCCTCAAACTCACAGAGATCCGCCTGGCTCTGCCTCCCGAGTGCTGGGATTAAAGGCGTGCGCCACCACCACCCGGCTTACCTAGCACTTCTTATATGAGAAGGTAGTTTCGGGATGTGGCAAAGTCATGGCCTCTTCTTTTCCCACCCTCAACTACAAAAACTCTCAGACTCTGGGCCCAGCATTCCTGTTCCTGTTTCTCCCGATGCTCTGGGGCCGGGTCGCTGGGTGTCACCTCTAACAACAGTAGAAGTCTGCTCTCAAGAGTTTGGGGGTGGAATGGAGTCTTCACTCTTCATTTCCCTCTGCCTGCTCAGTTCTTATATTTTCTTGCAGTCACTACAATCTTTGCTCTAATCTGGAACCGCCCTCCGAACATTTGCACTTTACAAATCTTAAAACATATTTTAATTTGTCCATGACACAGTAGGAATGGAAAATAGTATACATAGTATATTACAAATGTGCAAATAAAATTTTAGTCATGTTACTAGGACTAGGCATATAATTACAGGATTCATAGTGAGAGAAAAATAATAATAATTTGAAATTTTGCCGAAACTGCCCTCAGTGTTGCTATACAAGGGCCCATTAGTAATTAAGTGTACAGTTTGGTAACTAAGGTCAAGCATCAAGATTAAGTGAAGAATTTAAAGGAAAATTGATTTAGCTCCTAGGATTCTATAAGATAATATGAAATCTCACTGCTGCATTGGTTCCATGCTACTCATTTGGGTGGACTTTTGACACCGGGTTTTACCTGGAATGAGGCAGGTGTCTTCCACTGATCTCCATGACTGCTCACAGCCTTTTGCATCAATCAAGCATTGCTGCACTAAATGTACACAGCCATTCGTCTGGGAAGAGGATTCATTTTCTGAACTCAGCCTCGCAGCTTGAACAACAGCAACAAGAAAACAAGGACATGTTCTCAATGTTACAGCATGGTGGCCATTTTCCTCAGATCTAAGTTATTGATAGTGAAAGGCAGAATTATGGACAATACAATGTGGCAGAACTATTATGAGGATGAAACAAACTTTCTCCCCCTCCCCGTAGTTCTGTGTTTCTCTATTGTAAATAGATAGTTTTCATTAGCTGTTTTAATTATGATACAATGTAACAGGTTTCATTGTGACTTTTTTCCCCAAATATGTATCCTTTAGTCTCATTTGACTCTGCTAGACTTCTCCCTTATCCTCTTCCCCCCTCTACATGGTCCCTCTGTCTGATAAAATGTTCAGTACCCATAAGTCATCAAGGAAGCGCAAATGTGTAATTCATTGGTGTTGCATCTTACATCAGTCAGAATGGCTCTTGTCAAAAAAACAACAAAAGCTGATGAGAATGTGAAGAAAGACCCTCATTCACCGTTGGTGGGAATGTAAACTGGTGTAGCTACTGTGGAAATCAGTGTGGAAGATTCTCAAAAAACCAAAAATAAACCGAGCTCTACCATTCTTGGGTCTCTACCCAAAGAATTCTAAATCCACAAACCACAGAAATACTTACAGATCCACCTTGTTGCCGTGCAGTATAAGATTCTTAGACAAGGTCTATTATTTGCCTGCTCTGCCTTCTTACCTTGCATTTACTCCTTGACTCGTAAAATTTTTATTACTTTCATTCCATCAAAACCACTTCTAAAAACAGTTTTATTTCAATTTATGTGTATGTGCACTTATGCACATGTGTGTGGGTGCCCACGGAGGCCAGAAGAGGGAGTCAGATTCCCCGGAGCTGGTTTAAAAGTGATTGCAAGCTGCCAAACATGGGCACAGGGAACCCAGCTTGTATCCTCAGGAAGAGCAGCAAGTACTCTTTACTGAGCCATCTCTCCAGCCCCTAAACAACTTCTAAAAAAATGTCATTTATGTCCCCTTAACATAAAATGGAACATTTTTAAGACTGTGTCTCCTCTGTCAGTGTCTGGGTGCTTTGATGATTTGTTTGTTTTAGAGTCTCTCTCTTCCTCTGGAAACGGTTTCTTGATGATTCACCACCTTATACCATTTGCTGAGAGTGAGGCTTCCTGTCATCCTCTTAGCACTCAGTTAAAATATATTTTCAGTTCAAATTCTGTTTTCAGAACTTTCTTGGTTTTATTCATACTCTTCAGGGAGAATCCTATTTCTTGCATGGCTTGAAATAAAATATCTAGACTAAAGATTCTCTAATATATAATCTAAGCCCTAATACTTTCAATACCAAGCCTAGATAAAAAGCTATTTCCTTTATTGGCATACTGTAGACTCAGATTTATTTAGCCTTGTCCTCATCATTAATCCTTTATGGTGAATCACTGTACTTCATCAGCAATGACACTGATAATATAGATATCCAAACAATTCATAAGAGATATTTTAATGCATCCTCAACTTCAACGTACCATATCTATCCCTGTAAGCGTTGTGCCTCTGTGCTTTGAGCCACTGAACAGCCTTCCCTGGCCAATTGCCTGGCCTCTGGATTTATTTGAGTAAGAGCAGTTCTTTATGTCACCTTATGTATGGAATACATTTTTAGTATGGCCATTTCTTTGCTTAGTCTCTTTGGGTGGCTCCTCATAACATGGCTTTCATATTTTTTATCACATGCACCCCAGATATCTTAAAGCTTTCTGTAGTACTCCAAGCTGCCTTGCCCCTTTGAAGTTCACCCTTTGGCCTCTAGTAAGCAATCTAATTCTTGTTCTCTGGGATAATATTTTGTCTTTTAAAACTGATTATGATCATTATCTATGTTATGGGAAATATGAATTCTATACTTTCTTTTTTTTCTACAACCCAAGTGAGCAAACACCCCTCTTTTGTCTCCCTGGGAGCTTAGAAGTCCCGAAGGTGTAGAATTTCTTGCCCTGCAGTGTGTGTTCATTGGCTTGTCTACAACACTATGCTCTCTACATTTACTGGACAGTTAATACGGGACATTCAGGATTGTATTCTTTTTTTTTGTTTGTTTGTTTGTTTGTTTTTCGAGACAGGGTTTCTCTGTGTAGCTTTGCACCTTTCCTGGAGCTCACTTGGTAGCCCAGGCTGGCCTCGAACTCACACTGCCTCCCGAGTGCTGGGATTAAGGGCGTGTGCCACCACTGCCCGGCAGGATTGTATTCTTAACACACGGTTGTGTTTTATGGGTATTCAATTAGTATATGTTTGATTTACATCAGTTTAGCTCTTAACAGATAAGGTTTATATAAATAGCTAATAAGTCATCCAGATATTTACAAGTTATTTTCAGGGACATTTTCTAAAAGCAATCAAGAAAATAGTAATACTAATTTAGTGTATTTTATAACTGAATCAATTTCTTTTATCAAACATATAAAACAGACACTTGATTATGCAATAAATGGAAAAAATAAGAGAACCACAATTGAGTCAGAAATATGACCTACAAGTTTTAAGACATTAAGTAAATCTCTTCTTTTGTTACCTCTTTCCAAGCCTTGTTTTCTTTCTTTTTTTAATATATATTTTTATTTTATAATTAACTTAATTTCACATATCAGCCACGGATTCCCCTGTCCTCCCTCCTCCCACCTCCAGCCCTCTTCCCCAATCCACCCCCCCATTCCCACCTCCTCCAAGGCAAGGCCTCCCCTGGGGAGTCAGCCCAGCCTCATAGACTCAGCCAAGGCAGGTCCAGTCCCCTCCTTCCTACACAAAGGCTGAGCAAAGTATCTTAGCATAGGCCCCAGGCTCCAAAAAGGCAGCCCATACACCAAGGACAGGTCTTGGTTCCACTGCCTGGGGACCTCCCAAACAGTTCAAGCTAATCAACTGTCCCACTTATCCAGAGGGCCCAGTCCAGTTCCATGGGGGCTCCTCGGCCATTGGTTCACAGTTCATGCATTTCCACTAGTTTGGCTATTTGTCCCTGTGCTTTTTCCAATCATGCTCTCAATATCTCTCGTTCATACAATCCGTCCTTTCTCCCTCCAATTGGGCTCCCGGAGCTCCACCTGGGGCCCGCCTGTGGATCTCTGCATCCACTTCCATCAGACACTGGATGAGAGTTCTATCATGACAGCCAGGGTATTCGGCCATCTGATCACCAGAGCAGGTCAGCTTAGGCACTCTCTCGACCATTGCCAGTAGTCTAAAGTGGAGGTATCTTTGTGGATTTCTGTGGACCTCTCTAGCACTCTGCTTCTTCCTATTCCCCTGGGGTCTTCATTCATCACAGTATCTCCCTCCCCGACAGCCTACAGAATGGGAAGAGATCTTCACCAACCCCACATCTGACATAGGGCTGATTCCGAGAATATATAAACAACACAAGAAACTAGACATTAAAATACCCAACAGTCCAATTAAAAAATGGGCTATAGAGTTAAACAGAGAATTCTCAACAGAAGAAACTCAAATGGCTGAAAGGCATTTAAGGAATTACTCCACATCCTTAGTCATCAGGGAAATGCAAATCAAAACGACACTGATATACTATCTTACACCCATCAGAATGGCTAAGATCAAAAACACTGAAGACAGCTTATGTTGGAGAGGATGTGGAGCAAGGGGTATACTCCTCCACTGTTGGTGGGAATGCAAACTTGTATAGCCACTTTGGAAATCAATATGGCATTTTCCAAGCCTTGTTTTCTAAGACTCCAAGAAAATTGGAATGCTGTTACATTTTTAACAAATTCACCATTTCCCCTATGGTTTTAGGCAACAGGAATTTGCTTCATCATGACATGTAATTACACAATACTGAACAAGAGTTGTGCAGTTTGGAGAAATTTTCAGTCTTAACCATGTTAGGTATAATTTCTTTTTTTCACACAACTTGGTTTCTGTGTTAATTTGGAAGTAAAAGATGACAGGGAATGACTCTAGCCTTTTCAACCAAAGCCTTGAAGAAAAAGTGATATGGTTTGTGTAATCTGATACATTGCTACAAAAATTGAAACTCATAGATTTATCTTTATAGCAAAACTAAAAATACTAGAAAATAAAAAAGAAATAAGGAAACATTAGAGGAATGAGAGAAACAAATCTCTCAACATGAAAATTTCCATAGAGACATTGAAAACGTGCAAAGGACCCTTTACTTCCTGGCTAATTTTCTTGGATTTGATTTATTTTGCTTTCCCTTTTCTTTTTAATGTATTTTGGAATAACATACATTATATTCTGGCTCTTATTTAGCTCCATTCATCAACAACCATAGCTAATAGTAAAGAAAATATCCTGGTTTGTTTATTAATATCCAATATGATCACAATTATCCCTCATCCTGAAATTGATACGTAGATGCTAACATATCCTAAAGAAAAATATTAACTTTCATCAATCACATATCTATGAAGTAGATTTTTTTGGGCTGTGTGTTAAGGGAAAATTATTTGGACCAACTTCTTATAATGATCCAACATGAGAGATTTGAGCCCACATTTTACCTGTAGGCCATGAATGTCACTCAAGAGGCAGAGTTTTAATGCAGAGCTCGGGAACTTTGCTCCACTCAGCTGACCCTGGATAGTAAGGTTGAAAATTAGAGGGACAGTTTGTGTTGCCCTCTCTTTTTAATCTGCTTTCAAAGCTAAACAGATATACAAAACCTTGTCGCCCTTTAACTTGTAAGTATATACTAGACAGATGACATTTTCCAAAGGCTCTTGTGCATATGGAAACTCGGTAGATCTTAATAAATGATTCAAAGTCATTTAGGTTGTTTTGCAGGAGCAGGAGTAATGGGATGAGTAATTAAATGATCACGTTTCATATTTTCCAGAGTTAGAAACAAGTGACTGCAGGTAAATGCACATTTCTCAAAAGCAGTAAATAACATCAGAGTACAAGTTAGTAACATAATTGGCATTTCTTATTGTATGTCCCCATAGGCTTAGGCTAGATGGGACAGCATCCAATGTATAAAGAGTTAATATTGCAATAAATTCAGAACTAGCAGCACAGTTCACTTACCCAAGAAAATGAACACTATCATGTTGGACAACGAGATGTTCACCTGGGAGAAAGGCAGAAGTACTGACTTCAACCAGCTTGCTTCCCAAAGGAAACTTCCGGAATAAGCTTCCAGTTTCTGCTCTCGCTTCCTAAGAGCACAGCCAATTAGAGTCAGCTTCTGATGTCACCGTTTCCTCACCAATTTGTTCTGAGCTGTGAACTTTCCTAATTACATTCAAATCCAATTGTTCTCCTCAGTGTGTGAACCCAGGATATTATGCTCCCACGAAATCTTGCAAACCAAATAACAGGGGGAAATGATGCATTCTCTGCACATTGACTAGAACACTAAGCTGTGCTTCCTGAATGTAACCGTCTTCGGAGACATTTGACCATGTTTAGTCCCCTATTCATGAAAATGTCTCATTAAGTCAATTTCTTATAATTTCAGGATTATAGAAAAGGAACATCGATGTAAACAACCCAGGAAAATTATTGTAAATCCAAGTTACATTCAAATGTGGAACGGATGTGTCTCATGTTTGCAAATGCTTCAAAGCCGGAGATGACTAAAATCTATGCCACATCTGCCCCTGTTTCTTCAAACCCAGGCACAGTGTGAAAAAAGACTACTTTCAGTGATGTACAGATTCTTCACAGGAAGTGAACTGTTCACCGTATCTCCATCACTCCGACTTGGATGCCGTTATTCCTCACTTTGATCTACAATTTCCTTGATATTCAATGAAATAAATGACCCTGATCCCTTTTTTAATCTACTTTTGGTAAATATAAAGTATTACCTTCAGTGAGAAATTAAAAAAGAGAGAGAGAGATAGGCAAATGAAAGAGAAGCATCTGTGTTCCCATTGCCACATAATTTATTGTGTTTATTACATTCTGCTAATGTTCATTTTACATAAGCAGAGACATTAGATTTTATTTTCAAACTGCATACTGTTTACTAAAACCCAATGAACTGAAATTATAACATTATAAATTATCTCTGTAGATTTAAGTAAATAACTTAATATCAGACATTACTTCTCTGGAAATGGATTGATTATATCACGGTTGTAAATCACATTATGCTTGCACACAGGTTTTGTATAACAGAAGTCTGCTAATGACAATATTGCACCCAGTGATTTATTTGATAGGAGAAATATAGTACTATAAAAATTAATCTCCTCTCTTCTTGAGTGCATGAATTAAATCAGAGGGGACAAATCCCAATGATACACAAAATATAGCAATGACTCTTGTGAGTAGCCTCCAGAACCAGGGTATATAATTCAATGCAGTGTTTTGGGGGAGGCAATTGCAAAATTTTGCCGAGTCCCAAGGGGGAACAGACCTAGACCTCGCCCCCTGATGGAACAGTACCAACACAACATTGTGAACACAGAATATGAAATGGGATATATCTTAGTGAAGTAATAATTGGAAGATAAAACCTAACATATAGATTTCCTCTTTGACTCATGTTGCTTCATTATGTTATATGATTATACTTCAATATAAATTCTAATATAATTTCATCACTGTCCTGCTGGTTTCAGTACCTTTAACTCTGCTTGATCATATGTTAGGCAACTGTTCACATATTATCTTCTGGCACTCATTCCTGTGATCATCAAATACATTTTTAAAAAATGACCTTTAAGTTTAATTATCTTTGTGTCACCACACTGGAGAAAACAACATTACTCAATGTACTGGCTGTGTTAGTCAGGGTTCTCTATAGTAACAAAACTTAGAGAATCTCTCTCTGTATGTATAGGAGGGGGACTTATTAGAATGATTTACAGGCTGTGGTCCAGCTAACCCAACAATGGCTGCCATGGAAGGTCCAAGAATCCAGTAGATGTTTAGTCTATGAGGATGGATGTCTCAGCTGGTCTTCAGTACACACTGGAATCGCAAAGAGGTGGGCTCTAAGGCTAGTGAAGGAATGAACTTGCCAGCAAGAGCAAAAACAAGCAGGCAAAGAGAGAAATATTCCTTCTTTCATGTCCTTATATAGGCTTCCGACTGAAGGTGTGGACCAGATTAGAGGTGAGTCTTCCTACTTCTAAAGATATTAATTAAAGGTGTATTTTCTCACCTCAACGATCTGGATTAAAAGTGGATCTTTCCGCATCAAATTAAGCAAAAATTCCGCAAAGGTGTGTCCTCCCATTTTGGAGTTTTAGTTCATTCCAGATGTAGTCGAGTTGATAGGAAAGAATAGCCATCACACTGGCTTTATTTGTAACCACATTATTTTAATTTCTACCCTCTACCAGAGTTTCTGACATCATCAACAGGACTTTCTCAACTATACTCTCCAAGATGGTTCCCACAACATTCACATGCAGTTGAAATCTTTCTCTGCGCGACTCTCCCCAATGGCAAACATGTGGTTATTTGTTATAAAAAACTTTCAGTTTTCTGATCCTGTCCCTAGTCCTTAACTTCTAAAATAAATGTTCAGTTCATTGATCATGAAAATAAGAACATAATTCTTCATGGTTTTTCTTGGTTGTGTGTATAGCTGCTTCCCATACATTGATTTTAAAGTACTCTGTCTCCGTGTGACTCCTCCTGCATCTCTCCCTCCCTCCCTCACCATCTCGTTCTCTATCCCTTGTATTCTGTCTGCCTTTCCATGCCGCTCTCTGTTCACAGCTTCTCTCACTGCCTTCTCCTCTTCTCCCTTCCCACTCCATACACTCACATATACACCCCCAGGACTGCACCTAAGGGAACTTGCTCCATCATTGTACTGTGCCTCCAGGTTCCACTTTTTACATTATTTTGAACTTATGGACCAGTGAGTTGACTCAGAGGATTAAGGCACTTGATGCCAATCCTTATGTTCTGAGTTCAATACCAGGAACGCATGTGGTCGGAGAAGAAAACTGAATCAAAAAGGTGTATCATTGCCTTTACATATGTGCACCCATGCAAAGCCAAAAAAATGTATAGTAAAATTTATTTTGAATTAATGCCATTTCATTTTCTGATTTGTTTTAAATAAAATGTCTTTAAAAAGCATACATTTTCCCTTCCCTCAGAGTTCAGGGATCCCAGCAGAAGAGGGGGCAGAAAGAATGTAAAAGCCGGAGGGGATGGAAGACACCAGGAGACTATGGTCCTCTAAATCAATATGATCAAAGCTCACATGAACTCACAGAGACTGAGGCAGCATGTACAGGACCTGCATGGGTCTGTACCAGGTCCTCTGCATATAGATTATGGCTTCTAGTTTGGTGTTTTTACATGATTCTTGAGTGTATGAATGAGTGGGTCTCTTATTCTTGTGCTTTCTCTTGGGCTTTTTTCCTTCTGTTGGTTTGTCTTATCTGACTTCAGTGTGATAGTTTTTGTCTTATCTTATTATAGTTTATTTTATCTTGTTTGGTTGCTATATCTTAGAAGCCTGTTCTTTTCTAATGAGAAACAGAAAGGGAATGGATCTGGATGGGAGGGGAGCTGGGGAGGACCTGGGAGGGGTAGAGGGAAAAGAACCTGTAATTAGAATATATTATGGGAAAAAAGAATCTATTTTAACTAAAAGGTGAAAATATTCTCAGATAATTCTCCAAAATACTAATCGTAAGTGAGAGACTATATCAGAATCTAAGTGAATGTATCTATATATGCTACTTGATAGGAAATATGCACACAGGCTGCGTGCATCTAAACAGAACTTGTCAAGTGACCTTTGATTTCAAAAAGTCAAGCAATAAAAACAGCTCTTAGTAAACAAGCATAAAACTTTTAACCTTTGAGATAATATTCATACTAATATTATTTGTGTATACTATAAACTATAGTGGTTCTAAACATTTGGTTTATGCTGCTTCATTTACTTTTCCAAAGTGCTTTATGATGTAGAAACTATTTTTTTTTTTTTGTGACTGAGGAGCAAGATGAGTCAGTAAAATGCCTGCTGTGCAAGCATGTGGATCTGAGTTCAGATCCACAACATCCAAGTAAATGTCAGGAACAGTGGAGCCCACTTGTAACCCCAGGACTTGGGGGTTGGTGAGCAGTGGAAACAGCAGTTACCTGGAGCTAACTGGCCAGACATCTGACTGAATTGATGAGTGCTGAGCTAAATGACAGACTTTTTTTTTTTCACCTGAAGAAGACACTTGAGGTGGATCTCTAACCTCTTCCCACATACACTCAAGCATGTCATGTACAACTGCACACACATGTCTACCCACACAAGCATACATACACACACTGTATACACACACACACACACACACACACACACACACACACACACACACACACAC